TAAGTCGTGCTGGGTCTTTCACAGAGTAAGAGTATCTAACTCAAGTGGACCAGTCTCCCTCTCCTCATCCCCAGAGATTGAGCTCATTTTTCAGTTTGATGTGAGAGGCACCTTAGGTATGCATGCTTTACGTGTGGTTTCTTGCCTATGCTGAAGTTAGGGTATTGCTAGCCTTTTGTAAAGCTTACTTTGAGAAAGCAAAGACCATGTCATGTCTGCTGTTTTCATGCTGTTGTTTTGATCCATAGACCTTGCAGAGTTGCTCACATATTAAACACATTCACTTGTGGATGGCTCTGTTTTGGGGCCTTCCTATTGGTTCCACTGCCTGGCAGCCTGGGCAGGGACTCCAGGAGGTAGGTAATGAGATGACTCAAAAGAGGTTTCGTTGTCTTGTGTGCCATCTAGTCAGTTCTGACTCACGGCCACCCCTTGTGTGATGGAGCAGAACTCCTTCATAGGGTTTTCTTGTCCATAATCTTTACGGAAACAGATCTCCAGGCCTTTTCTTCTGCAAAGTCACTAGGTAGGTTCCAACTACCAACCTTTAACAGCCAAGTGCAAACCATTTGCACCAGCTAGTGAACTCAAAGGAGATTTAATCAGTCATAAAATGACTCCAGAACATCTACATTACCTGGTTATCCCCAAGGCAAAGTCAGGGAATCCCCTAATCTCTTTCTGTCAACAGTGAACATAATTACCATCCATGTCCATGTTTTACCTTTATAGATATCTTGTTATTTCAGGGCTGCTTTGATTTTCATTGTAACCTGACATCAGTTTTGAAAAGAATTTAGGTTAGGGACAGGAGAGAGCAAAAGTACCCCATTGTGTTATTTTTTTTTTTTTTTTCCTAGGGTCTCATATTCCCCTAAGATCTTTGTTGATCTTATTAAAGATAAGATTGATCTAGCATATAGTTACATCACCTTGGGTCACTTTATAAATTGCAGTTTTAATATTATGTTTGTCTACTAAACTCTTAAGTAAAACACTAAAGAGAGTTTGGAGAAAAACTGATTTAGAGTTCATAAATTTTTTCCTAATCATCATATTAAGGCTATAATGTTTAAAGTAAGACCTAGAAATAGTAACGTGGATTGATGATGATGGTGAGTATTACGTATGCTGAAAATGTAAGTGGCTTGTTAAATAGTATCCATTCAAAGAAGTATTTTATCTTTTTAACCAGTTATTTTTAAGCCATATTATTGTCTATGAGATTATGCAGTTTTATTGTTGTTGTTGTTGTTGTTATGTGCCGTCGAGTTGGATCCGACTCATAGTGACCCCTCCTTGGGTTTCTGAGGTGGTATCACTACGGAAGTAGATTGCCCAACCTTCCTTCCGAGGAGTAGCTGATGAGTTTGAATCACCAGCCTTCTGGTTAGCAGTCAAGTGCCTTAGGCACTACGCTACCAGAGCTCCTATAGTCTTTACATTTAGATGAAAGAAGTAAATGAAAGCTAATAGCAGGGACTTATTTTTTGAAATGATAAGGGATATGTCATAGAAGTAGAAAATATGCCCAATTTTCCACACCTTCTATCTCTTCCTTCCTTCCTCTCTCCTCCTCTGCTTCCCTCCCTCCCTCCTCCTTCCTTCCTTTCTTTTTTATGTGATTTATCCTCCTCCTCCTGCTCCTGGAGCTTTCAGAGAATCTTTCTGTGTGTAAACCCGTTCATGACTTTTTACAGTAGTGGTCTCGTATGATACTTGTCCTTTTGTGATTAACTAATTTGACTCAGCATAATGCCCTCTGTGTTTGTCCATGTTATGAGGTATGTCACAAAAATTATGGGCAGAGAAACTCAAAGTTCAATTCCTGATGACTCAGATCCTAAATAAGTCCACTTTTTTCCACTTTCCTGCCACCATCCTCTTCATCAATCTTTTATTTTGTCTTCTTGATCACAGACTTGTTTTCTTGGACGTTTTTCACAGAGCAGCCAGAATTACGTTTTTATAATGTATGTTAGATCATGTCACCTGACAGAGGGTTTTTATTGCACTTTGAATAATATCCCAAATCCCTTTCATGGCCCCTAAGCCCTTTCATGATCTGGCTTCTTGTCCCTCTAAAGGTTATGGTCTTCTACTTAGGCTTCCTGTACTCATCCACTTCCTCTGTGCTCTAGTTACCACTGGGTTCTTAACTAACTAGCTCACCTTGTGAAGCTACATTGCACTTCATGCTGCTTCTTCTTTCATCACTCTTCCACAAATCCTAACAGGGTTGACTCCGAGTCTTGTCATTACTGACTCTTCTTAAACATCACTTTCCTGAAGAGGACCTTCTTGATCACCTAGGCCAAGGTGGCTCCCCAGTCTTACTCTCCTTCCACTGGCTTTGATTTCATTCATTGTTTTATGTATCAAATTTTATTGAGCACCTACTATGTGATGAAGAACACATTAAATTGCCTGTCTTCATGGAGCTTTTACTCTAATAAAGAAAGATCATGGATTATCATCCTGCCAGGTACCTCTGACCCAATGCTGCACCCCAAATGGAATGGATGATTTATGAGAGCAGGACGTTGTTTTATTCCTACTGGAAGAAGTACTGGAGAGAACATTCAGAGATGCATTTTTTCCCATACATTTACTGCTTGCCTCTGTATACTTCCCCCCACGACTGAAGAGGTGAGAAGGAATAGCACAAAGAACCCTGCCACAGAATGTGCTGTAACTTACTGGGCACATTCTTGTGCAAATCACATTATCTGCTCTTGGTGTTATTTTTTCTCATCTGTAAATTAGGTGGTTGTTGTTGTTATGTGCCATTGAGTCGGCCCAACTCATAGTGACTCCTCTTTGGGTATCTGAGGTGGTATCACCACAGAAGTAGGTTGCCCAACCTTCCTTCTGAGGAGTGGCTGGTGAGTGTGAACCGTCGGCCTTCTGGTTAGCAGTCAAGTGCCTTATGCTACCAGAGCTCGGTAAAATACGTTAGTCCTATTCATAAACAAGGAGCTCTGGTAGTGTAGTGCCTAAGGCATTTGACTACTAACCAGAAGGCCAGCGGTTCAAACCCACCAGTCACTCCTCGGAAGGAAGGTTGGGCAATCTACTTCTATAGTGATACCAACTCGGAAACCCAAGGAGGGGTCGCTATGAGTTGGATCCGACTCAACGGCAGTGAGTTTCGTTCGGTTTTGGTTATTCATAAACAAGGTTTTTGAGACAATTGATTATGAAAACTAAAAACCCATTGCTATTGAGTCGATTCCTACTCATAGCAACCCTATAAGACAGAATAAAACTGCCCCGTAGGGTTTCCAAGGCTGTAAATCTTTACAGAAGCAGACTGCCTCAGCTTTCTCCTACAGAGCAGCTGGTGGGTTTGAACCACCAACCTTCCAGTGAGCAGCTGAGTGGTTAACCACTGTGGCACCAGAGTGCCTTTTAATTATGAAAGTACTGGGTAAATAGTAAAGTACTCTGTAATCATCATCATCATCTCAGTGATTTCCACTTACACCCTTGAGTACCTGAGATCTAGAGCTACGTTTCCAGTAGTTTAATAAGCGTTTCTATAAAGTGCATCTAAAATGAATGTTTCCTCTTCCCATAAAACTAGTTTCTGTTCTCCATTTGTCTGTTGTGACCAAGTATATCTTTCTTCCTCAGTACCTAGATCCATGCAGTCAAAATGTCTTGTCAGTTTTCTTTTGTTAAATCTCTTGAATCTATTCTTTTCCTCACATATCTGCCAGATCACCATCTCACTAACTTCAGGTCCTCACCAGTGTCTCCACTTGGTTGCCTTCTAAGGGATCCTTCGAATAGCCCTGGGGGTGCAGTGGTTATGTGCTCAGCTGCTAACCAGGACTGGGTACCTGCAGGAGAGAGACCTGGCGATCTGCTTGTGTAGGTTACAGCCTATGCAACCCTGTGGAGTTCTGCTGCCACACTGGGTCACTATGAGTCAAAACTGGAAGGCACAAAACAGTACCAAGGAATCCTTCACCCCTTGGCCTTTTTCTTCCAATCCATTTAGAAGCCTGCCATTATTTAATGTGCACCCAACATTTGTTTATCTTTTATCTCCCCTATTCAGAAACTTTCAAAAGATACCACCTGGTTGCCTATTGGATAAATTCATAATCCATTAGCTTTTAACTTGAAGTTCTCTATAATCTGTCTCCGATCTACTTTTCAAATTGGATCTCCTGTCGTTCTGCATTGTGACCACCCACTACATCTAGATGGGTCTGTTTCCTTTTTCATGAAGGTTTATTTTACTTTCCTGCTGCCTCTGCACACTCGTTCATATTTGCTTGGAATTTTCTTGCCTCTCTGTGCCAGTCCTCTTCAATCTTTTGGCCCAGCACACTCCTCTATTTCATAAGATGCCTTTGAATTTTTACTTTCATGTCTGTTTTTGACATTGTAGTCACCTTTGTTATTTCTATGCCTGTGTATGCCTTATCAGAAGTTCTGATATTTTTTACGTAGCCCAAGAGCCTTCCACGTAATGGAAACTTACTATATATATTAAAGCATGAGCGGTAATTGAGATTTTGCTCTATACTGCCCCTTTCTAACAATGGAAAGCAGGTCCCCTTTGCCTGGAATGATGAGCTAATATCTGCTCATAGGTGGAGCCTTGAACTTGTTGACCTCCCCTCATCCACTTTGAGGGGAAAAAAAAAATCAGTTTCTTGCTTACAGTTTGGAGAACTTGATTATAGTTTATCAAGCTACAATGTGCAAATTCAAGTTTGACCTAGTAAAGCACTGGCTTTATAAAAAATGTGTCCCTGAAGATGAGTAATAGCCATGGCCTCCTTAGGTGAGTATTGAATGTTGTCTGCAACGTCTCTAAATATGCTGAAATTTCCCCATCTGTTCTCAAGGAAGTATCATGAAGATGTGCTTCTGTTAACTTTTCCATTAGATAAACAGAGCCCTGGAGAACATCTAGCCTGGCTCTGATGACCATGCTTTACTTTAATTCTATACTAACAGCATACTTTTCTGTTCTTCTGCAGTACTTTGGAAGTTTACTTGTCATTTTCTGTGTAGAACTGGCTTGTGGTGTGTGGACATATGAGCAGGAAATTATGGTGAGTTCAAAATGGGAGTAAACATAATCTAAAACAATATCCAGTTTAGCCTTCTAAGTCTGTTACTTTGAAATAATTGAGACACATTCTTATTAATTTATATGTTTATCTCTATGAGTCAGAATGGACTTAATGAATGGCAACTAAGAACAACTGCAACATGGTACATGATAATGATGAATTGCCCAATACTTCTGAAAAATAACCTTTTCTTTTCTTTTCTCTATCTATTCCACCTAAAGCACATTTCTAAACCAGGATTTTTAGCATTTCATATAGTATGCCATGTGGTATATGTCTTTGACTCCACAGAATTTTATAACATGTATTTAATTGAGTAAAAATACTGTATGTTCTAAAATGAGTTTTACTAACTAGAGGGTATAATGGGCAAGATTTTGCATTAGCTGCGAGATTGGTTGATCAGTGCTGAAAAACTACATGACCGCCTGCAGCAGTGCACCAAGGAGGCGGAAGCCTGTTCTGCTGTTTGCAGCTACCACAAGGTCTTCCACTTTAAGGCGTGAGTTTGAAGAGTTGCGTATGTTTAGCACAATGCAGATGCACTTTCACTTTTCTGGGACCTGGTACTTGGAAACAGCTCAAGCATTTTTTTCTCCTTTGTTTTAGTAGTTGCAGCTGTAGGAACAACCTTTAGAAATACGTTAGAATGAATGAGGATGAGAATTTCTCATTCTCAAAATGTTACCAGTCGGTTTTGCTTAGCACTTGCACCTCGTTCAGCCTTGCTTGCATTCAGAATTATTACTTAATGTTTGCTCATTTAATTGGTGCATTTATCACCAATGAGGTCATACTTCTTTGAATGTCTGTGAATGTTGGCTGTTCTCATGGAGGCAGACCAGAGTTTCCCAATGCTAGCATCGTGGAGTAATGTTTGGTAAGAGGTGTTTTTCGATATATGGTCCCTGAACCATCTGTACCAGGAGTCACCCAGGGGAATTCTTAAAAAAAATATGCATTATTAGGCTGCAGCCCAGATCTGCTTAGTCAGAACAGAGGGGAAGGCAGGGAAGGAAGGGGTAGTGGACTGTTCATTTGCATTTGTGAAAAGTTCCCTAGGGGACTCTTACACACGGTAAAATTTGAAAACCATTAAGAGGAGAAGGGTGTTATTTGATTCAGAGAGGAGAGACATTTTGGCAGCTGTGCAGTCAAACTGAAGTTGTATCTAGTACCGGCTCATTTATTAAAGATTCTGTGATGAGTTTGTTACAGTCCGGTGAGATTGTTTTGAACGCTAAGTGATAATTGGACGCATGGATACTCTGCCTACTCTAATTTCCATGTAAACGATGCTTCGGCGCCGCCACATGTCTGAACGCCTGTGAAAATACTCATGCTTTTGTGCTATGACATCTCGGTAAAAGGACAGAATGTAGGATTACTTTTCTCTCTATGAAAAGAATTGAAAAGTCATGGCAGGTTCTAACTCGTTTAATATAAAATAAAAAAAGAAAAAAACTTTCTTTAGAACTAAATCTGCCATTAAGATAGGAATTTTATTGCTATTTTTGAGAATCATATTTCTACCTCATTCCTAGAAGTTTTATATAATGAATCCATGGCCATTGAGTTGATTTTGAGTCATAGATACCCTATAGGATAGAGTAGAGCTGGCCCATGGGCTTTTCAAGGCTGTAAATCTTTAAGAAAGCAGACTGCTGCATCTTTTTCCCTCAGAGTGGCTGGTGGGTTTGAACCACTGACCTTTTGGTAGTGGTTCAGTGCTTTAAATGCTGCACCAGCAGAGCTCCTTTGTATAATTTAAAAAAAAAAAAAAAAAAAAAAACCTCACTGTCGTCAAGTCGGATCCGACTCATAGCTACCCCTCCTTGAGTTTCTGAGGCAGTATCACTACGGAAGTAGATTGCACATACTTCCTTCCGAGGAGTGACTGGTGGGTTTGAACCGCCAGCCTTCTGGTGAGCAGAGTCAGGCACCTTAGGCACTATGCCACCAGGTTCCAGGGACTTAGTTTCTCTGTGTTTTATGTAAAATGATTCTATAATTCTTCTGTTTTCAAATAATAAATTTATCTCCTTAACATTCAAATGATAGACATAAATCTTACAAATTCCCATTACCTTAGCTTTTAATAGTTTTCTTTTTCACAATTTAAAGAAACCATTCTTAATTTTAGAAATGAATTTACTTTCTGTAGATTTTTAGATGGACCGTGTGTTGTTGTTATGTGCCGTATAATATTAACATATTGTAACTTATTCAAATGAATTAATTTAAGGTATTTGAAAGGAAATTCTCTGATTCTCATATAATTCTAAGAAACATGAGGAAACTGAGATGAGTTTAAACTTTTTAAAGTCTATTGATGGTCTGTCTGCAAATTGTTTATCAGTATTGCAGAGGTACCAAATGGGCATGGGCTGCCATTTTGTTGAAGTTGTGTATCACTGTGTTGTGTGTGTCAATCTGCCCCCTTAAGTCACCAGGATTAAACAAGGGCTGTTTAAATATGAACTGTGGAAAACGGTCCTTTAGAAAAGAACTTTCTTAGTTTTTTTTTATTGCTTTTACACTAATAGCAGTGTGAATGAAAAAGTGCCATTAAAGTTTATTATCTGCCAAATTTTGCAGAACGCAGCCTAACATAGAATGAGCTTTGTGCTTTTGGCTGTTCCATGCAAGTAGCTAATAAATATAAGTTCTATTTTATGGCCTGCTCCCAGTGTTTTGTGCCAGAACCTCCCGGTCTGCCCTGTTTCTTGCCATTTTTGGTCTCATGTCAATTGTGGTTACAACAGGGAAACAACCTCTATTTTATTTTGGAAAGCAGAATAGAAACAATTATTCTAATAACTGAAATCAGGCAGTCTGTTCTCCCTGCATTTCTGCTCTTTGTACATGTTCACCTCCTATTCATTAGTGTTTTTCTCTGGATGAAATCTGTCAATAATATGAATTGTTTCTGCTTATGAATTTCTAGGGAATTTATCTCACAGCCATGTGTTTTATGCCCCAAATGGTGTGAGATAATGCTCCCGTACAGTGAGTAGCTTGAACTTTGGTTAATTTCCTGATTGTGGGTGTTTTCTTTGGTATCCTATGTTTCCATGTCATAGAAAAAGAAAAGGGCAAAAATGAAGAATTTCTGTGGTCAGACATTTTAAAATGACTTCTATTGCTGCTACTATCGTTTTATAGTAGGGGAGTTCTGGTAGCATAGTGCCTAAGGCACTGGACTGCTAACCAGAGGGCTGGCGGTTCAAACCCACCAGCCTCCTCGGAAGGAAGATGGGGCAATCTACTTCCGTAGTGATATTGCCTTGGAAACCCAAGGAGGGGTTGCTATGAGTCAGGTCCTACTCGACAGCACATAACAAAAACAACAACATCTTTTTATAATACTTAAAAGTAGTCCTAACCTTGAGTTCTGGGTGGCTGTATTAACTCTTTCTACCCTTCCTCCTTTTTTCCCTCTTCATGTGTTGAATGCTAAGCTTGCTTCACTAAGCCATGCTTCTGTTACTCCATGAAGCAGTCATGGATGTTGTCCAATTTCCCAACAGTTGCTTTAATGCCACACATGTGATGAAACTAGGATTGGCAGACCTCAATTTCTGCTCTGGCCCTATAGATGAAACATACCATGAAGTGCTGGTCAGATTTCTGGCCAACTGCTGTGTTGCAAACCTAAAAGTCTGTTATGATTAAAAGTGTTAGCACTCGTGCTACTAGAGGACTTAAAAATTGAAGCTCAAAGAATGCTTAAAGTTGAGAACTTTTCTTTCTAAAATTTTACATTGCCTCCTAAGTCCAAGGTTTTGAAAGATAATTAAAAAATTACTCTGGAATGAGGCTTGACTTGACTTAAGCTCTTTTTCTTTTTAATTTTCTCCCTTTATTCTTTTACCACTATCTGTAGTCATGGTGGCATAGTGCCTAAGGCATTTGACTGCTAACCAGAAGGCTAGTGGTTCAAACCCACAGCCACTCCTTGGAAGGAAGGTTGAGTAATCCCTTCCGTAGTGATACCATCTCGGAAACCCAAGGAGGGATCGCTAAGAGTCGGGTCCAACTCATCGGCAGTGCGTGCATGTCTACAGTCATAAGGAGCTCTGTTGGCACGGTAGTTAAAGCATTAATTTGACTGCTAACCAAAAAATCAGTGGTTCAAACCCACCAGCCACTCCACAAAAGAAAGATGAGACAGTCTGCTTCCAGAAAGATTTACAGCCTTGGAAACTGTCTGGGCAGTTCTACTCTGTCCTGTAGGGTCACTACGAGTCAGAAGTGACTCGATGGCAGTGGGGATCTACGGTCATTCCAAAGGACAGTATTTTAACATTATGAAATCAAAGGTCATTTCTTTCAAGGGATCATTTGTTACTTGTAGCTTTTCAGGTGTATCTGTAGGTTATATGTTGTTGTTGTCATGCGCCGTTGAGTTGGCCCCGACCCATAGCGACCCCTCCTTGGGTTCCGAGGCAGTATCACTATGGAAGTAGATTGCCCAACCTTCCTTCTGAGGAGTGACTGGTGGGTTTGAACTGCCAGCCTTCTGGTTAGCAGGCAAGTAGGTACCTACCTGTTTGGGGATTTCCTTGAACTTATCTATCAGCACTGGTTGTTTCTCATTGTTTTGCTGAGGACACAGTGCTTCCTCATGTAGTACAAAATGCTGTGTGTAGAGATTGTTCAGTAAGTATTTGGCAATCCCGAGTGTAACTTACGTCACAAACAATTGCAGACTTATGATAGTATTTGTCAATTATAATATGTTTTAAGTATGTGTTAGTATGTGTGTGAGTGTGTTACAGTTGTTGATTATGCTTTTTATCTCCAGGTTCCAGTACAATGGTCAGATATGGTCACTTTGAAAGCAAGAATGACAAATTATGGCTTACCTAGATACCGGTGGCTTACTCATGCTTGGAATTTTTTTCAGAGAGAGGTAAGTGCTAGAATTTCTGAGGTAGAGAGCATAGAATGAGTAGCACACTTTTAAAACAAATGTCAAAAATTTTGGCTGTGGTCATTTTCTCCATGCTGATGAGTTAAGGCTGTGTTTCAGTTACCAATGGTGCAATTCATGATTTAGAAAAACCTTAAAATAACTCCATTCCCTACTTTTCTTCCCATGTGTGCCATTTCCCCTTTATTTCACCAGATTCATTTATAGTTTGGAATTTCTCAAACACTTTGCTAAATTATTGTGAAGTTTCCATTTAAAGGGAGGTTGAAATGGATAAATACTCCATTTCTTTTTGAACTGATAATTTGTCATGACTATTAGAGCTATCTGTAGGTTAAAAGTTGTTTTAATTTTTCTCAAATAATGTTTCTCATTTCAGAATTAGAAGTTGGTATACCATTAAAAGCATGACCTTTCTAGTCAGAAGGACCTTGGTTCAAATCCTGGCTCTGCTGCTTACTATTCAGTGAGCTGCTGTAATTTACTTAATCGACCTAAGCCTCAGTTTCCTTACCTGTAAAGTGTGGATAATGAATTAAAAGTACGTGCCTCCTTGCGTTATTGAGAAGATTAAATGAGACCATCAACTTAGAGTATGGTTATTAATAATAACATTACAAACTATAGGCTTTTTCAGTTTTTCTTACCTAACTGCAAGATAGCAGGGCACCCAGTCTTCTTCTCAAATGAGGACTGTATTTCAGGGTGTAAAATCTGGTGACTTGAGCTTAACTGTCAATCTTGCTTCATATCAAGCTCTTCTCCCAACTGTGTGTGAATGTCTCCAACCAGTTTCCTCTTGGTTGGAGAGACATTCCCAGATGACCACGTGTAGTGGTTTCCTTTTGTTTATTTCTCTTAGACCTGGGTCACAAAACATTTGAGAATCAGTGTGTTACATGATAGATATCCAGCTCTCTGCTCAGTTATTCTTTCTTGGATATGAACAGAGGCTCAAATCCAGGACAACCCCCAAATCAGATTTTTTTTGCTTTACTGTTGTTGAGATGGTGAACGTTATCATCGCAACACAGACTTCCTGTTTGTTTAAATGCTTCCTAACTTTGTTTACTGTGCATTTGTACTGAAAACATGACAGGAAAATAAGTGAAGCATTAGGGAATTTTTAGTAAGCTCTGTTCAGCTACTGCCCTGGACGGGAGCTTCCAAGAGCTCTTTTTTTTCTGGGATTTGTGATGCAGATCACGATGATCCCCGTGAAAAAACAAAGTATTTCTTTTCTTGATGGGGCTCCACCTAAAAGCACAATAAAGGTACATGCACTGCAGATGGTAGCACACTTATTTTTAGGTTTGTCACGTGGTAAGTTCACGCCTTCATGTCCTAGTGGTGAAGAGTTTGAAAAACTCTTATAAAACAATTAAATTGCAGAGCTGAAAGCAACCTTGGCCACGCCTGACTTTGCTGACTCCTGATGCAGTGATGTTCTGTGTGTGTGCGTCCATCCAGTGGAGTCTCACTTAAGCCCTAGCGGGATTTATTTTATAACTTTGAGGAAAGAAAACCTTTTTTGTTGTTGTTTTTTTCTTAAGGAGACAGTGAGTAGAGTGTGGGCTTTGGAATAAATAAGGCTCTTCCAGTACTGGTCTATGACCTCGGCGAGTTACTGGACCTTTCGAAGCCTCTGCTTCTTCATATGTAAAATGGTGATGGTATTTTCTAGAGTTTGGCACAAAGTTAGCAACTCACTGCCAGCGAGTCGATTCGGACTCATAGAGACTCTCATCTGGTTTCCAAGGCTGTGAATCCTTACGGAAGCAGACTGCTTTATCTTTCTTCTGCTGCGTGGCCAGTGGGTTAAACTACTGATCTTTTTGGTTAGCAGCCAAATGCTTTAACCACTACATCCCAGAGCTCCTTCATTGTTAGCAAGAGTAGCACTGTCTCACAATGATATACAAAGAGGCAGAGATAGTGCAAAGGAGGTGTAGACTACAGTAATGCGTGATGTAATAGTGGGTTTTCTTCAAGGAGTCTTGAGGAAAAGTTTCAGTACAAATTCAATGTCTTCTGTTAAAGGAAGGAGCTCTGGCAGAACAGTGGTTAAAGCGTTCGGCTGCTAAACAAAAGGTTGGTGGTTTGAACCTCCCAGCTGCTCTGCGGGAGAAAGATGAAACAGTCTTCTTCTGTATAGATTTACAGTCTTATAAACCCTATGGGGCAGTTCTACTCTGTCCAGTATGGTCATTGTGAGCCTGAATTGACTTGACAGCAATGGATTTTCTATTAAAAGAGAAAAGCAACTATATAAAAAGAAAAAGTATTTCAGAGAGTCATTAAAAATAAGAAGAATACTTTGGCATTGAAAGTAATGTTGTTGTGGTTATGTGCCGTTGAGTTGGACCCGACTCATAGCGACCCCTCCTTGGGTTTCCGAGGCAGTATCACTACGGAAGTAGATTGCTCCGTCTTCCTTCCGAGGACTGGCCAGTGGGTTTGAACTGCCAGCCTTCTGGTTAGCAGTCTTAAATTATTTGGAGAAGTCATTTATGTGGAGCATCTCATTTACAGACAAGGCCAGATAAATGGACCGTTCTGTGGATGGAGTTAGAGTGTCGCAAGAACTGTCTGTCTGTCATCAACATAGTAAGAGCACATTTCCATAGGAAGTGAGAAAAGTGGTGTTCTCTGGGATCAAAGATTTAAAATGACAGACTGAGACACGAGTAGTTTATGATTTTTAGAAAGCAAAGTCTCTTTGTTACATATGTTTTTGGTGAATACTTGATGAGCTATTTCAAGTATATGAAATACCAAATTGTATTTTTGTTAATTGGTGATGTTTATGGTATATTCATGGCTGTTAGAATGTTTAAAAGGAAAATAATAAAGATAAAAAAAGAAAAATTTCTCAAAAATTTTAGTCTTACTCATAGCTTTTAGTAATTCATTTATAATACTCTTAGGAAGATTGTTTTTTCTTCTTTTTTAATTAGCTATTTGCAAATGTAAAAAATGCAAGATTATTTGTAATGTATTTGTTTCATTTCGGTGAGTTTCAGAATTCTTCAAAGTTGATCTTAGGTGAATTTTGAAATGATGGTGGGTTGTGATACCTTATGATGCAAAGTTAATCCTGGAAACAGATCTGTCTGTTGAACTACATAATTTGCAGAGCCAGTTGCTTTTGGCAGAATTCTTCTTAGTGACTGCCTGTATTTCTTGCTTTTCACTCTCTGGAAGAGGAACCCCCTTCTGCCCAAGGCCTAAAAATTATTCATCATAGTTAATTGTTCTGAATCTAAACTAGATATAGTCTTAAGCAGTGTTCCTAAACTCTGAGCAGAGAAGGTTGCTTATCTTGGTGTAATAAGAATAAGTTGGATTTTACCAGATCCAGCTTTTTAAAACCAAACTAAGGGTACATCCTTTCTTCTGAGATCATGGTGATAAAATATGATAGTTTATTTTAAGATTTTCATTTGGTTACATAAAGATTAGTTGACCAAACCTATGTTTATATCTCAAATATTTCCACAGATTTTACTGCTTAATGAATCCAAATCTAGTAATCTTTGTGATGCAGGCTTTGGTCAACAAATCTTTCTATAGAGTTGTTGTTGTTGTTGTCAGGTGTTGTTGTTGTCAGGTGTCGTTGTTGTTGTTGTTGTCAGGTGTTGTTGTTGTCAGGTGTCGTCGTTGTTGTTGTTGTCAGGTGTCGGTGTCGCTGAGTTGGCTCTGACTCACAGTGACCCAGCGGACAACAGAACAAAACACTGCCTGGTCCTGTGCCAGCCTCACAATCCTTGCTGTACCTCAGCCCATCATTGCAGCCACTGCACTAAAACATCTTGTTGAGGGTCTTCCCCTTTTCGTTGACCCTCCCCCTTACCAAGCATGACATCCTTCTCCAGGGAATGGTCTCTTCTGACAACTTGACCAAAGTAGGTGAGACAAAGTCTGGCCATTCTTTCTTCCAAGGAGCATTCTGGCTGCACTTCTTCCAGGACAGATTTGTTAGTTCTTCCGGCAGTCCATGGTATTTTCCTGGGTGATAGAGGGAGCCCAGGTGGTGCAGTAGTTAAGAGCTTGACTGCTAATGGTAAGGTTGGCAGTTTAAACCCACCACCTGCTCTGCGGGAGAAAGCTATGACAGTCTGCTTCTGTAAAGATTACAGCCTTGGGGCAGTTCTATTCTGTCCTATTGGGTCACTATGAGTCGGCAGCAGGTTAGGTGACATATAAATAGATTGATCAACTACCCTTCTGTGGCTGGGAGTTTAATGATAAGGGTAATATTTGTTTGGGTTAATGTGTATTAAAATCTATTGGTAGGGTTACTTGTAGAAGACCTTGCAGTTAGGGAATAAGATTCAGTCTTGCCTAATCTGGTTTTAGGAGCTCTGGTAGCATAGTGCCTGAGGCGCTTGACCACTAACCAGGAGGCTGGTGGTTCAAACCCACTAGCCACTCCTCGGAAGGAAGGTTGGGCAATCTACGTCCATAGTGATACTGCCTGGGAAACCCGAGGAGGGGTCACTATCAGTTGGGTCCGACTCGACGGCACATAACAACAATCTGGTTTTATGTGCTGTGGGCATTACTGTTCAGATCTGTTGCATTGTGGAGTGGTTAGCTGGGGTGTTCCTTCACTGCATTTCGGTCAGCAACAACGAATGTGCATGTCATTAGTGATGACAGAAGCGGATTTAGCTCTAGGTACAAAAATTTAAGAAACCTAACTTTTAATCACCTATAAATTAGGAAAATATTTTTGTAGTCGACTGAGCCCAACCAATCATTCTTTTGCAGTTTAAGTGCTGTGGAGTCGTGTATTTCACCGACTGGTTGGAAATGACTGAGATGGACTGGCCACCGGATTCCTGCTGTGTTAGGGAATTCCCAGGATGCTCCAAACAGGCCCACCAGGAAGATCTCAGTGACCTATATCAGGAGGTATGGCTGTATGGGATCAATTGTCATGGATAAAAGTTTTCTCATGTTAACTTTAAAGTGAAGAGACACTGCAATGCTACTGAAAATTTTCCTTTTCTGTCTAAAAATAAAGGCCCTTAATTTTTTTTCTGATATGTGATGAAACAGGATAAAGCTAAAAATCCATATAGAAATCTGAACACTCGACACATTTTAACAAAGGAAAGTGGTGAAGACCATGTTTTAGAGTTAAACAGCTCATTAATTGGATATTAAACTGCATTAATCTAGAACCAAATCTATTGCTCCTTCCTTTGCAAACAGACACATGCTGAGTATGTAGCTTACCCTGGGGATTCAGGAAGACAGAATTGGAGTTCCCGGGCAGAATATGTATTTTAGGCCCTCCCCTTAGCCTAAAACAACAAAAAACTTACTCTCCAGAGAAAACACTGCCATGCCACTCTTCACTTCCGCCTGCTGGCTAATGATTAGTTGTGTTAGTGAACTGATTTAATGAGGTTTAATACTCACTGGACTAAGGTCAGTCATTAAGTACCCAAGAATCTTGCATGTTTGTGTTTACTGGGAGAACTTTTCACAATCATCAGTATTCCTTGTGACAGAAGTTTTCCTATTTGTTCATTTTTAGTGGTGGTTTTTAAACTTTTTTCTTGGCAGTAGAATCCTGTTTTCAAATTAAAGTCTAGAACTGCACTGCTAAAGTTAACAGTTCGGTGCCTCAGCCACACTAGCTCCATTTCAAGTGCTCGATAGCCATGTATGACTGTGGCTCCTGGGTTGCTGGACAGTGCAGACATGGGATGTTTCCATCATCGCAGAAAGTCTTGTTGGGCATCGCTGACCTAGAATGGAAGCCCCAAATGTAAATCAGAGAGATGGGCAGCTGCTCAGGTTGAGGGGGTGGGAGCCTTGTCCACACACTTCTCCAGGGAAGTACTGAAGTACCTTAGTGCTGTTAAAAACCTTTGGCTTAATGTAAAGTAACACCACTATTCTTAGCACAACTAATATAGATACATATATAGATAGATAGAATGGCTATAAGGAAATGAAGCATTAGAACAAAACACATCAGGATACACATCTTTATATATTCTGAGGTATATTACAGTTTATACATTTCCCCCCAGAAGTACTACTGTTGTTTAAAGCATCTCTTAAATTCTCTTCCGAAGTCAGCTGTAAAGATGTATAAAAATCAGTTTCTTTAATTTATTGTTGTCAATTAATTACTTTGCAGAAGAAAGCTGTATTTTACCTACACAAATGGTCCATCTTACTTATGTCTTTAATGTAACTTTTGACTGTTAAAAAAAAAAAAAATCTCCACAGACAAAAATGTCACGTTTAAGGCTATTCAAAATAAAGTGCTTTGGGCTCTGAAGGCGTGCCTCACCCCATCACCCCACCCTCAAAAGAGTTTCAGATATATCGAAAGAGCTGAATAACTCAGGTTGTTTATTTTAAAAAACAATCACAATACCGTTGGTTATGCCTCACCCTACTGAGATGCATTGTGTTGGATGTTATGATTTTAAACGTATTATGGTTAGGAGTGGGGAGCTCTGGTGGCATAGTGCCTAAGGCATTAGACTGCTAACCAGAAGGCCGGCGGTTCAAACCCACCAGCCACTACTCAGAAGGAAGGTTGGGCAATCTACTTCTGTAGTGATACTGCCTTGGAAACCCAAGGAGGGGTTGCTATGAGTTGGATCTGACTTGATGG